TTTCTTAAGTGCAGAAACTCTCAAAACTTTCTCTGAAATGTTGATAACTGGGTGGTTAATAGCTGGAGCTGTGTATTTTAGGGGATTTTGGGCACGGAAGTCCCCTTGAGAACTTTTCTTCACTTGCGTTACTTCCCTCGTGCCTTCATACTGGAGGTCTCTTTGCAGATCTATCCCATAACCCCATCAATTAACATGATGGGCTTAAAAGCGGGCTGTGGCCAAAGAACTGGGGGTGGGTTCTTGCTGCAGGGCTGGGTGAGAAGGGCCCCGGTTTGTGTGGGTTGGGGAATCTTCCCCAGCACGTCAGTTCTGCTGTGCACAGTGGAGCATTTGCATTGCCCTCTTGTGGCAAGTGCCCTGGAGCCGCTGGGGTCAGGAGACATTCTGCCTTACGTTGTCCATGGTGTTCCTTAGGAAGATCTGTCCTCCCAACAGCAGAACCGTGATTAAACAATTCTGCAGTTTCAGTGTGGTTTTTAATTCAGCAGCCTCTCCAGTGAAACTGTGGCTCTCCTAATCTAGAAGCGTGAGTTAGCATGAAAACCTGAAAGTGAAGCTGATGGGATGTAGGAAGTGAAACCGATAGTTCAAGATACATTATTGAAACGATGTTCCAAAATACGTGGTCTAAGATCTAATTGTAGCTCTCTAATTATTTGCAGTTAAACTCGCCTGAAGGTTTTTGTAATGCCTCAGTGATATTAATAGTTTCAGAAACTTGATGGAGGGAACAAAATAGAGAACAAAAGCACTGAAAATTAGATAATCCATTCTTTCAGCTTTGCGTGCATTTCTCTTCTCTCCACCAAATAGCATTCTCCTTCTGCCAGGAATCGGTGGTGGGATTAGATCCTGCAGTTGTTTAAAGTAACCCTGCAGCAAAACACAAGCATGTGCTAAAATCTGGGCTACCAGCCTGGCAAGAATTAATTTCTGAATTAAATGCTGTCGTCTGTCTTTCTGCAAATGGCGAAGGGAGGCTGTGTGTGTGCAAACACACACCCTGCAGACCCCTCCTGGAGGGCGATGCCTTGCAGACATGCCCGCAGCCCCTTACTCTCTTTGTTCTCGCCATTCGCAGCGTGGCTGGGGCGAAGGGGTTTTATTGTGGCGGCAGCGGGTGAATTCCTGCGTGCGCCTTCCCCGGGCCTGCTGCCCCTCTAATTGTTGTGTTGTCAGAAGGCGTGTGCCTCCGAAAGCCTTATCTGATTCCTCCAAAAGCCTTGCAAGCAATTCAGATGTTGACCCCTTGAGCGCAAACACCTCTCCGCCTGCCTTGGGGCATAGCCGCCAGACGAGGTTTAGTGCTCGTGTGTGTGTGCAAACCCGAGGCTGGCTTTGTCACCGGGGATGGAGCACCTGCCTGGGGAGGGGAGCAAGGGGCCAGGGAAGGTGAAAGGCTGGTGGGACTCGGAGGGGGAGAAGGGGAGTCCAACAGCTGCTTGTGTCAGCGCGGGGATAAATGCAAGGAGATTAATAGTTATTTAAAGAGCAAATGGGGACATGGCATTCGGTTGTGGCATGCAAGTGTATAAATGTGGTGGAATGGTTGCTCCGCTGGTAACATTTAGACAGATGGTCCCTGGACTGAAAGGAATGAAAAGGATCTTTCATTCTCTTAAGGATATCTTAAACTTTAATGGGGCACTCTTTTTTTTTTTTTTTTTTTTTTTTTCCAACTGACTTCCAGGCAGCACCTTCAGTGTTTCCAGACTGTGCTGTCTTGTTAACACCGACTGCCCATTTGGACATCTTTCTCCATCATCTTAAGTAGCCTGGGATTAGAAGGAATAGTTTTTAAGTGAAAGCTGAAACACTGTTGTTTTGCTGTCTGTATGTCTGAGTTGGTTTAGGAGACTGTTTTCATCACAGCTGTCTCTTCATCGTTCTGCTGGTTAGGGAGTGTGTCTGATGCTAATCTCCATGAGAAATGAAACAACTGAGTGATACTTCTACATTTTTGAGAAGTCTTCATGTCTTATTAGGGTATTCTGGGGCAGGAGGGCAGGGAGGTTTGTTTTTTGATTAAATACAGAATTATTGAGCAGGAAAAAGACTGTTCCTGGTGCAGTACACCAGCGTTCTGGCTCTTTCCATACAGAATTAGCCTCAAGGGAAAACACGTACCAAATGTCCGTTAAATAGGTCTTGGTTGGCTGAATAGCCTACAGGATATGAGACATAATTGTCATCTGCATTGCCAAAGCTGCAATCTCCTTTTGGAGAAGAAGAACCAGTCTGGATCGCTTTCTCCTGAGTCAACTATTTAGCATGCTTTGAGTCCAATCGCAGATACTTTCTTGCCTGTCTAACAGGGGTGCTGGGCATCTATAACATCCCTGCTGTTACAGATGGGGAAACTGAGGCAGGGAGGGCAAATGACTAACCTGAGGCAACACAGAGAGTCACTGGTTCACCCAGGATTAGGACTCAATATGTAATTGCTTTTATTACACTGGTGCCTGAAGGCCTCAGACAAAACGGAGGCCCATTAAGTGGAGCGCTTTTTACATAGCGAGGAGCAATCCTTGCCCTGCAGACCTTGCTGCCTGAAGTAGGCTGAGGGTGGAGGGGGGAGGCAAGGTGGCTTGCCCAAGGACACAGTGCATTGCTGGCAGAGCAAGGGAGGGAACCAGCTCTCCCTTGTCCCTGCAGACCATCCCAGCTCCCAAAAGGAAGTCCCCTATGCCGTCCCCCACCAGACCTTCTCCTTCCCACCACAGCTTGTATTAACAAGCTGATCCATCTCTGGAAAGTCTGACGTGCCTTGCTGAAGACCCAACAGCACCAGGGTCACCTTGGGCTTTTAATTAAAACCTCATAAAATATCAGCCTCTTCCAGTGAAGCAGAGGTGGAAACCTAAGGAAGAGCTCTGTTTGGCTCAAACTTCTCTACCTCCTCCTCTTCTGGAAGGACAGCTAGCAGCGCAAAGTGTTTGGGAGTAGGGAGGGTGCTTCATCCTTGCAAAGGGACCGACCTGTTTTCCTCCATGGCTGAAATGACTGGAGAAACTGGGTGTTAAATGGCTTGTCCAAGGTCCCTGGGAAGCTCGGCAGGTAGCTTGTGCCATTCCCTTTCAGGTCCTTGGAAGAGTGATGATGTGCTTGAAGTTTCATTAGGGCTGGTGGGATTCCTAGTATTGGGAAAGCTTTTTGTTATGGGTCTTGCTGTTGGTGCTCTGACTCGGGGAGCCTTTGTTGCTTGGCTGATATTACAGAGTTGTCTCTGGAAAAGGAGCAACTGTTGGAAAGAAGAGGGAAGGCTGGAGCAGACTGGCTGAAGTACTGAGAGATGCGTGAGCTTGATGGCTCTGGATGGGATTGAAGACGTAGGATGTGGAGGGGCATGAGGTGCTCGAACCCTTGAACAAGGGGAAGAGCCTGAGCCTGAGTCCCTTCTGCCATGTCAGCTGCTAACTGCAGAACCAGGTGTGTGTATCGCTGCGTGTTCCTGGGTGATCCCAGAGCTGTTGGGGCTGGGTACCACAAACTTTTTGGATGCCGCTCTCTCCCTGAGCTGGGCACAAACAATGCCCTTTGGACACACACAAGGATGAGACTACGTGTACCTGGCTGAACCCCATGTGTGGCTCACCTGCTGCCCTGTCTCCATGGCCAACACTGGGTCCTTTGGAGGAATAAAAGATTGGGGTAGTTGTGTAACTCTCTCTCCTCAGAGTATTTTCCCAGCTTCCAACTGTTTGTGGTTCAGAATTTTAAAATCGGATATGCTGCCTTGATGGATTTTTTTACAGCAGAAATTGTCTGATGCCTTTTTGAACATATGTAGGCTTTTAGTATCCACAGCATTTTGTAGCAGAAAATCCGTGTCTGTTTCTGGGCTTTGTGAAGAACCACTCTGTGTGTGTTCAAATCCTGCTCAAGATGTTTTCTTGTCCACTAACTCCTCTATTAAGAGAGCATGAAAATTGATCTCCTATTTGCTTTTTTTCCATATTGTTTAGGAATTTATCCACTTCTGTCATACTGCGTTCCACCTCTCTCCTCATTGTCTCTTTTCCCGGCTGAAAAGTTGTCATCTACTGTTGCGCTACAGGAAGGCTTTGAAAGAGTTTGCTCATTGTCACCTTTCTCCGAAATTTGTTCCACTCTCATCTCTTTGAGATGGGGACCAGGGCTGCACATAAAATTTAGGGCATTAGGCATGTGACTTTTCTGCTAACCTCCCCCTGATCTAGCCTTTACCTTTCTGTACTCCGTTCTCTAGCCTTCGTTTTTGATGCCTTCAATTGTTTTTTATGTTGTTTTTACCTGGAGGCTACTTTTGGGCCATAATCACGTCTGCTCATTTAAGTGCAACACACTGTGCAACTGCTGGTGCTTAAGTATGTGGAGAAGCCTTCCATGCTGTGAGCTACCATGCTGCTTGATGAGACCTTTAATTCTTCTCTATTACTGTCTGTGACTGGTCACTGGGAATTGTGCTATGAACCTTTTCTCCAGGGAGTCACACTTCAGTGCGGTTACTACCCGAGTTAAAGGTCCCAAATGCCACCATGCGTAGCAGGATCGGACCCATGAGAAGAGGAGCAATCTTTGTGTAGAGCGCGAGACCGTCAGAGGCGATGTAGCCTTGTACAAGCTAGAGCCAGCTGCACTGTAATGAACCTAGTGATTTTTATCAGGTTATAGCAGTTCCTTCAAAAGGGTCTCGGCCTGGGTGTTGCTAGACATGGGGAGCCTGTCTCCTCGTGATGGTTTGCTGCCTGTGAATCACCTCCTTGTTATGTGCAAGCTCTTTTCCCAGCTTAGCTGTTGATCTACTGTGTGGCTGTGAGAAGCTTTACTTCTTTCTGTTTCAGTCACCGATGTAAAATGGGGCATATCCTTTGCAAATCTCCCTCCTCTTGGTGTGACACGTGTTCGATGGTGCTGAGATCATGCTGTGCATCCTCCATTGTGAAGGCTGTGCCATGGCTAGCCAGCCTGTGCTAACGTTGCTTCTGTAACAGTCCTGTGCATCTCTTTGCCTCTAGCCGCAGTACACGAACCTGGGGCTCCTGAACAGCATGGACCAGCAGATCCAGAATGGCTCTTCCTCCACCAGCCCCTACAACACGGAGCACGCGCAGAACAGTGTCACGGCCCCCTCACCTTACGCCCAGCCCAGCTCAACTTTTGATGCCCTCTCGCCCTCCCCAGCCATCCCTTCCAACACAGACTACCCAGGACCTCACAGCTTCGATGTATCATTTCAACAGTCCAGCACAGCAAAGTCAGCAACGTGGACGGTAAGGACGCAGCATTGCTTTGCTCCCTCTCTGGCTTCAGTCACGATGCTACTAGTGACATTATTCTTACGATACATATCCAGCTTGTGCAAGAATGGAGTGACCTGTGTCCTCGTCAGTGCATGACATGTCACACAGAAGGGAGAGATTTATCTTGGCCGCTCCGGGAGGGTGTGGTGGGAATTTAACCCCCAATAATATCACTAAACCCTAGGTGAATAAAATGCCTTGCAAAAAGGCAGTCACCTAAAGACTGTATGTGATGAAACAGTGGCTCTCCATTTGGGCCTAGCAGGTGTGCTGGAACAAAACATGGGGTGGGCATGAGCATGGCTTCAGCGCTTCCCTTCGCTTTCTTCACCTTCCATGGGTTTGCGTAAGGTTTGGCATGCGGGGCTGTGCCAGCAGGATGGAGGTGGTGCCTCCCCGCTCCGACCCATGGTATGTGGGGCTTTCTCTCTCTCTGTGTCCTTGCCCTCTCGCAGCTGGTGTGGGAACCCCAGTGTCATCAGCTCGGGTCAGCCCCGCGGTATTTGGGTTATTTATATATATTTTTTTAATTTTTTTTTTTTTTTTACTTAACACTCTGCTCTTGCTGGCAGAATAGTCCCTTTCTTATTAAAAAAAAAAAAAAAAGTATGGAGCTTGAAATTTGAAGCCCAGCTCTTGATTTTTTTGGTGGAGCTGGCTTGATTGTTCAAGCTCTAGAAACTCTGTAGCCCGGGATGCAGCACTGCTGGAGCTGTACGTCCTATTGTGGTTTAGGGCTCTAGAGTAGAGATGTTTGCAGTGGAGACTATTGCTGTCTTAAAGATGTTCAATATTTGCCTTCCTCTCCTTCGCACACTTGGAGTAGGTGCAGTGAATAATGCCCTACCTCACGGTACCTGAATAAAAGCAGGGACTCAATTTCTTTTAACTTTTTTTTTTAAAGAAAAAAAGGTACACTTTTTACCAAAAGCTAAAAGCATTACAATAGTGTGGGGTTTTTTTTCTTTTTTAATCTGAGGAACTACTTTGATCTCAATTTAAATACAATCTAGCAGGAATTGAAACTAACAAACAAACTCCTAGCCACTGCTGCCAGCAAAGCAGCGGAGCCCATGTGCTCCACTCTGGAAAAAGATGCCAGATAACAATAAATTACTGTAAGTTTGCATCCTTTATATTTTAAAAGCCTTTTCCAGTAAAATTTGTCTAGAACTAGTAACAATAACCTTGTTCAGGAAATTGCGTTTCATGGGGTTAAAATGCAATAGATCTGCTCAAGACCAAATTTTTCATTTGTTTATGCATAAAAGGGTGAAGGATTTCTAAGTGAGATTGAAATTGCACCCTTTCCTTATCTGCATTGGGAGTGATGCCCTGCTGTAGTTCACGCTTGTTTTCATGTCCAGGTTTCTCCACTTACACTACACACACTACTTGTTTTCACTTCCCTTTTAAGTAAGGAAATTGTTGGTCAGTTCTACTTTCCATTTCTCGGAGCAAGAAAATGCTGCCCTTGGATTTTTGCAGACTGCTCTGGAGAGAGGGTCCTTTGAAGGAGATATGAAAAGACGATCTCTTTTGATACGTATGGTACAAAGAATTATCTAATGCAGCTGCAGGGAACCAGAACATTTGATGCTGTCCTTTCAACTGCGAAAAGCGGTCTTTTGAAATGAGGTTTGAATGTATGTAGCAGGCTGTTCCAGCAGAGCTGAAGACGAGCGAGCTACTCGCGAGCTTAAAGTTAAGCAAGCACTTGAGATGTTTCACTGTAGTGATAGTGGCTTTCTGGGGTAGAAGTGGAGGCTGACTTTTACTGTAGATCTGGGTAGTAGTCAAAGATCAGATTACATGCTGGCTTCAAAGAAATAAATAAAATTGCTCCTTGGTGACTACAGTCACCAAATGCGTGCAGCCTGGGGGCAGGCACGTTTAGCTTCCCCCCCTTTTCTTTTGCCCTGATGTGGACCATGCTACCAACACATGAAGATGTGCTCCCTGTACTTGTTGCAGTCTGTCTAGGGATAAGTCCGTGTATTTTACTAAAGGAATGGGGTCCCAAACAGCTCTCTGACCAGGGAGGAGCGAGCGCGATCCAGGTGCCCCTGCGCTGAGCCAAGTGACCTAGATTTAGCTGCTCGTGCAGGAGCTCGCAGTGTGCTATATGTTCACCGTGGATGATGACAGTCTTGCGGCGGTGGCTGGGGACCTTCAGTCAATACGCCTTTCACAGTAGAGCATCTTTCCATCTTCGGAGCTCTGCCCTTCTGCTAATTAGTCCACCAACTCGTTTCACATGGGCTCTTGAGCGGTTGGTAATATGCGTTCGACAGCTTTATCAGTGGGGTGGGTGGGGAAGGACGTGAAGGCTCTCTTTCCCGTTGCCGTCCTGAGAAATGTGGAAACATGCGTGAAATGTTGATGAAAGGAGGAGTGATTGCCCCATCCTCTCAGCAAGAGCAAGTTCTCGGAGTTGCTCATCCCCCCATGTGACTTCATAGGCTTTGATTAATGCCTGTTGTCTCTTTTTTTTTTTTAATGATGGATTAGGAACTTACCCAACTGGAAGGGTTTCTTCCACTGCAGTGACCTATTAAAAGTTTAATTACTTGATGGCCCCACCCTTATTAAGAGTCCAAAACTTGAAAGCCTTGTTTCTTAGTTCTTTTTTTCCCCTCTTGCTGTTCCCCAGGGCAACAGTATTAAGTAAGGAAATCCATTGTATCGCACTCCCCTGTTTGGGAGAGGATGAGCCAGGCTGACCCACCTTGCCCTGCTGGGAAGGCTCGGTGGTGACTGGCAGCGGATCTGCTGTCCTGGCTGACAGCGCACTCCGAGCTTCTGGGCTGAGTCATGTTAGATTAGGTCATGGGACTGAAGGTTTTGGGCTTGGTAAGAGGACTGGCTTATTTCTTTAAAAAGCAAGAGCTGCTTTCATGGGAGGATTAGAGACCTGTGATGATGCTTCAGATTTCTAAGCCACTTTGTGCATTTAGCTCCCAACCTCTGTGCTTTGGAGGCAATAATCTGGAATCAAGTGTAGATCCCAAGGTTATTTTTTTTGCAGGTGGGGGAAAGGAGAGAGGGTACTTGCCGAGTACCTAAATGCTATGTCTCTGAAAATGGCCCTGGAATCGTGTCTTTTCCTAAAACTTCCCCCCACCCCCAAGTTCTGCAGACTCTTTCTAATGGGGCAGGCTTATTGTCCTAGGACAGTGGGCAGCCTTTGCCAAATCAGCAGTATTTGTACAGGATAGGCTGGGAGGGAGATGAGTGTGTAACATCAGGATTGCTTCTCTGCTCAGGTTTGTGATGGGCTCCTAATTTGGAGGGGGGAGGAGAAAAAAAACTGGCCAAAAATTGCAGAGAGAAACACTAGCTGCTGCTTGGTGAGAGGGTTATTTCATATGTATGAGCAGCTCGCTTTGAAAATATTACAAATTTTCTCTCTGAAGTCTTTCATGACCTTAAGTAGGAATTCCAGTAAAACATGCTGTCTAATCAGGTTAGCTCTTCATTTGTATGCAATGTTGAACTAATTAATGATGACAAATTGAGATTGGATTGCAGAGGACTTTATAAGCATCCTTGATTATTTTTTTAATTAATGACCTGAGAACACAAGTAAGAATATAAGCAGGTTAATCAGTCTTTTCAGAAGGAAAATCTTTAACAATTGAAACTCTACTGAAGTGTTTAAAAACAAAAGCCTTAATAGTCTGAATTGAACAAAGTTTCTCACATGCATACTCATGGTACAATAAAACCTTCTTGAAAACCATGCTGCGAAGGAACAAGCAGTTATCATTTTGTAATGCTGAGATAGGGAGGTCGCTGAGGTAGAACGAGAAGCCCTATGAGCTGGGTGAAGTAAGAACTTATCCAGAACTGTGTGTCATTTATTGTGGGATATTTCCTCTGTGAGAATTCCCATATTCCCATGCCTTGCGATATCTCCTCCCATTTCTGCAGAAGAAGAAAACAAAGCATTTCAAAAGTGTGCCACCTCAGATTTTTTTTTTTTCTTTGTGGAAGTAAGTTGTGTGCCGATCTTCCCCACCCACTCTGCAAATAAATAAATAAACAACTGCACTGGCTTTTCCCCCTAAAAAAAGATTTGGCAATCACCTGTCACTAGCAGAACCTGTTACATGGGGAAGAACATGATTGCAGTAGGAAAGTAAAAATTAAAATTGTATGTCAAGGTAAGTAAAAGTTAACATTACTGCCAAACGCAAGCTATCAAAAAATGAATCGGATCCACCCATCCCCATAAGCAAGATACCTCCTTATAAGTCATGAGACTCTTTTAAAAAGACAAACAGGTTCTTCTAATTCTCCCCCAGGTTTTTGAGCCTTTAGGGTGCATCTACTAAATCTTTTAAAGCTTTTCTTGGTAGTCACGAGGGTTAAGGAAAAAGAAGGCAGAAATAGCTTTAAGTTTTTAAATGAAAACTGAGATTTATTTGCAAGTTTTTGATTCTGCTGAAGACAGACACCCAGCCCTGCAAGACTTGCATAATTCAAATGTCGGCATTACCTGAGTTTAGCAGTTTATTCTCATGCCCTGCAGTAGGTTGGAGCTGAGCTGGGCTGGTCCTTGCAGGGCTTTGTTATGAAACACGGAGCTCTGCAAAGCTGCAATCCGTGTTCCAGCCGGGCTCACTGGTTCTCCTCAGTAAACTCAGCTGTACCTACAGCTGTAAGAAAATGCTCAGATTTTGGACTCTTTTTGCTAGCAAAGCTGGATAACAGCCTGTGCAACATCCATGAAAGCAAGTAAATGGATTGTGCTGGCTGGGGTTAGTGCATTTGGAAAAGCTGTGTTTTAAGGAAGGTGAAAGGAATGCACTTAAATTAGTCCACACAAGCAATAACAGGTTTCCGTGGTTAAGACTACAGATTCCTTGGCTGGGCTATCTCAGTCTCTTTATTTCAGATTGATTCATTTAATTTTCATTTAAATATACTGAGTCCTGAACCAGCTGGTAAAATTGGGGAAATTTTTC